GTCTCGAACAACAGTAGCAAAATCACTCGATCCAAGCTGCTTTGCTTCAAAAACAAATAACGTCCGCGTATTTCTTCCGAATATCAACTGTGGTTAAACAGCAGTTAAGAAAAACTCACAGTATCTCGGCTCCCTTCCGTAGAAGACGAACACTCGTGCCAACACACCGTCTCAGCTAGCACGATGAGCAATGCCCCTCCTGGTATACCACAGACACGCAGTTCAGTTTCTCGGCGATCAGGCTCCGTCAAAACTCACGACAGCACAAGCTCAGTCCAGCTTCTCGGCAGCTCACCTCGACGCTTGTCTAATGCTGTTCACATCTAATCAAAGAAGTCACAAGAAAACTAACTTTTTCTTTCTCGCGCTCGTTCTCGCTCATTTCAGTCCTCTTGCATACCTCCACAAATGCATCTCATAATCTTGTACTGCAGTTATATCTGATCAAATGCGCATTATTATTCTTTAGCTTGGGGTTAAACAAATCAATTTTGCTTGGTTGGAACAGCAGCTACGCTAATTATGTCTCTATTTGTTTCTCTGTTTCTGCCACGGGGTAACTAGGATTTACACAAGCTTCAGTCTGGATCCAGAACACCTGAGAAGAGATGATGCCAACCCCTCAGAGGACCTCAGATGATGCCAACCCTGAAACAACATACAGAACTACCACACTTTGCTATAAGTTTGATTGCATCATATAATAATTGCTGTTAACAGTGTTCATCGTCTGTTTGATTACGTCTTTAATTTATATTTCCGTACATTTCTGCCATATGTAGCTACATACATTGACAGTCACCACTGATAAGCTACTACTAAATATTGTAGAAAGTCAGGCGTATTAGAGAGCTCGCATCCAGTTTTCTGCGACTGTGTTCTTCTCGTGTTACAATAAAGCGCTCGCCACATTTGCGCGATAAGGGAATTATTAAAATTATGCGGAATACCTGCAATCCCACGCGGACATTCAGACTCTGTAATTGACATGAGGCGGATGCGTGTCAAACACACCATCGGAGAGGAGAGAGAGACGCAGCTTGTATCGGTGTATATTCGGTAGATAGGCTACTGTGGAAAATGAGTAATGGAACCACCGTGTCAGATATGTCGGTATCAAAATATAGATATTTATGATGATAACACTACCATGTAGTTTGTTTCTCCAAACTTTATGAGTCCATAAATTACGCTAAACTCCCTCACTGTCTGATCAGCTCTTCAAAACCTACTGCAGCGGCAGCTTTTCCCGGTTCAGATATCAGGGCTTTTATTGGTCCCTTTACGAAGTGCCGTCAAAGGTTTGAATATCAATTCAAATTGTGGGCGTACTCAGTAACGAACTATGATTTAAAAGTAACGAAGTAGATTATTTTGCTTAATTTGTACTTAAGTACAAGTAAAAGTACAGCTTTAAAAAATATACTCAAAAAAGTACAAGTAGGCCTACCCGAAAAAACTACGTAATTACAGTAACGTGAGTAGTTGTAATTCGTTACCTCCCTCCACCACTGCCCTTGACGTTCTTTATCTCCACTGCTGTTTTCACTTAGCCGATCAGATTCTGGAATGCTCTGGAAGAGTAATTTCATGTAGGAGGCTGTCGATCATCTGCATTATTTGAACAGCAGGAAGTGGACGGGTTCCACCATGTTGAGCTGTCTGTGGTGTAATATCTCCCCACCCACACTCACGGAAACGAAACTGAAAGCTGCTTCCTGGCCCGTTGTCTTTGCATATGAGTGAAAATAAAACTATAATATCAGAAAACATTCACAAAAGGATATAATTCTTTGGCTCATCCAGATAATGTAAATATTTGTAATAACCTTTTAACCTTTTTGCATATGATTTCATACATTATTAACTATTTTACTGTTGTCCTGTATCACACACACAGGCAAACATGCATGCACAACATCAACATTCCTTAGAATCTTTCCACTTTTTAATTTTAAATGTAGTAAAAAAAAAAATTTTCATGATGCCTAATGCATTAAAGGGGTCATATGATGTTGCTAAAAAGAACATTATTTTGTGTATTTGGTGTAATGAAATGTGTTTATGCGGTTTAAGGTTCAAAAAACACATTATTTTCCACATACTGTACATTATTGTTTCCCTTTCGATTCGGTCACTCTACATTGCTATGGGAATTACCCTTTCCTCCAAATACTACTGAAGCCTTATTGAATCACATCAGTGAAACTGGCCAATGGCGTTCAAGCGTGTGTGTTCCGGTGAGCTTCGGAAACAAGGATGACTCGCGATTGCCTCTCCTGCACAGAGCCAATCGAACTCTCTGATGGCCACAAGTCGTGCGTCTTCTGCCTGGGTCGCGCCCACGCAGAGGCGGTGCTTGGGGGGTCAGACTGCCTCCACTGCGGAGATATGAGCTCCGGACTCTCAAGCTCCATGTGGCCATCGTCCAAGGCGATGAACTCTCCCAACTAGCCCTGGCACGCTCTTCCTCTGCAGAGTCTTCGAGCCAAGGAGGAAAGTGCCGCGAGCTTCTGATGAGGATCTGTCAGGGTCAGGTGACGAGTCCGCGCCGGCTCAGTGCCCACACGCTCCTCACCCCCCTGCTGCAGGTCCCCTTCCAGTGCACTCCATGACCAGCACTGCAGTGCACTCCAGTTCTCCGCCCCTCCCCCATCGCTCAAGATGAAAGTGAAAGTGACGTGACATTTAACCCATCCAAAGTGCACACACACACCGTGAACACACACCCGGAGCAGTGGGCAGCCATTTATGCTGCGGCGCCCGGGGAGCAGTTGGGGGTTCGGTGCCTTGCTCAAGGGCACCTCAGTCGTGGTATTGAAGGTGGAAAAGAGCGCTGTACATTCACTCCCCCCACCTACAATCCCTGCAGGTACGAGACTCGAACCCGGAACCTTTGGGTTACGAGTCCGACTCTCTAACCATTAGGCCACGACTTCCCCTAGATGTGGTGTCCTTCGGTGCCATGGAGGACGCTGAGGTTGAAAATGATGCCATTTCGGTGGCAAGAGAGGAATGGTCTAACAGCCCACTGAATTACACTGCGCCCCACGGCAGCAACGCGGGGGACCTTCATCATAGTGATGTCGAGCTTCTAAGCGTCCTGTCCAAGGCAGTTAATGAGCTCGGTTTGGAGTGGGTGCCTCCTGCCGAGCCGGCCAGAAGCCGTCTGGATGAGTGGTACCTCCAGTCGGATCGCGGCCGAAAGGACACCCTGCGGAGGCCCGGCCCCTTTTTCCCCGAGGTGCACGATGAGATAAAGCAGTCGTGGAACGCGCGGCTCACCAGTCAAGTGCACAACCCGGGATCCTCCCTCCTGTCTTCTGTGGACGGCGCTGACCAAGTGGGGTATCTTAAACTCCCTCCCGTGGACGAAGCCATCGCTGCCCATCTCTGTCCTTCAGCCGCGGCGAACTGGAGAGTGAGAAACGCGTCTCTCCCCTCTAAACCTTGCCGCGCCACTGCAAACTTCGCTGGCAAGGCTTTCTCCGCTGCGGGCCAAGCAGCTTCAGCACTGCACGTGATGGCGATACTTCAGGTGTATCAGGCCAAGCTGTTCAAGTCTCTGGATGAGGACGGGCCGAACCCTGAAGTGTTCAAAGAGCTCCGACGCGCCATGGATCTGGCCCTCAGAGCGACGAAGGTGACAGCTCGAACGATCGGCCGCAACATGGGGAATCTTGTGGTG